CCCCCCCCTCTGCCCCATCTCCCCCATCCTAATCTTTCAGTAACAAGTGATCAGACGATGCAGAAATGTGGGAAAGGAATATCAGCACCCATAAATTGGCTAAAGCACACAGTGGACAGGCATTTCTGTTTGAAAAGATGACAATATTGACGCCTACTATTCATTGAGCCTTCAGGGTATATTAAGCACTTCCATACATTACCTCCATTAATTCTCATTACCAACACTTTAGAGTTTGAGCTACCTTGTAAAGCTTTACAGGTAAGGAAACTGAGGATCAGAGACACTTACATAATTCTCCCAGTCTGTGTAGATCGGGATCCAAGCCCAGGTCTGTCTGACTTTAACACCCACTCTTTTTCCACTCCCCAGTGCTGCCAAGCTCCTCTATATCAAAAGTGGAATCATACCAGGTAGATTTGGATTCTTTTCAAGGTCAAGAATAACCAAATGTGATTTTAAGTTGTATGGTTTATGTACCTTGCTTGTAGTACTATTAAACAACTATCAATGACAAAATAACCTGTGGGAAAATAATTTTCTTGATCTTTTCCAAACCCAGTTGGTAGGTTCCAGATAAGCAATACCCAACCTCGAGCAGATGAGTCTGGCTTTCCTTCCCTGACATTCTGGGTGATGCTGATAGGTTAAAAAGAGCTCAGGAATTTTCATTTTTCACCACCTTTAGTATTAGGATACTATTTCCATTTACTTCCCTATTGATTTATTTGACAAATACTTGCCAAGTTCTGTTTTGTGCTGGGCATTTGATGATACAATGAAAAATAAGAAAGACAGGATCCCAGCTCTTATGGAGTTTCTATGTAAGGGGAGATGACAAATAACAGGCCACAGAAAGATCATTTTAGATATGGATAGATGTTCTGAAGAAAATGGAAATTGGGTGCTAAAGAGTAAATTGCTTGGGACAACTTTAAATAGGCAGTCTGAGGAGAATTTCATAAGACGTTCACCCTTAAACTTGAATTAAAAAAGAAAAAGAGGCTTGCCCTGTGACATTCTTGGGAAAGAGTTGCCTAGCAGAAGAAATCTCAGAAAGACCCTGACATGGAGTAAATGAAACAGTGGAGCCTCAAATCTGAAGATGGAACGTTTAAAAGTCAAATTGGGTTTGACACAGACAGAATTATTGTTTGATCCTTGGCTGTGCTGTACACTTTATGCCTATTTGCTTTAATCTTCCCAACAACCTAATGAGTTAGCTTATTTTTGTCTTGATTTTATAGCCAAAGAAACCGAGACAAATGGAGTTAGATTCACTAGCTCAGGGTTAAAAAGCTGATATTTGAATTGCTTAATTCATTTTACTCCAAAGCCCAAAACTTTTTGCCAACACATATGTGGCATTTAGATAATCCCTTCTGGGAGATAGTGAAAGAGCCAGGAGAAGGAAAATATCAAAATATATTAGGTAGTTAAAGGTTGAGGATGATTTCTATCTGACGTTTCAAATTCTTGCCGGTGTATCTAAACCTGCACTCTCCAGTACAATATCGACCTGCCCCATGTGGCTACTGAACCCGGGAGATGTGTCTAATTCAAGTTGAGGTGTGTTGTGAGTATAAAATACACCCTAGATATCAAAGACCTAGCAAGTACCCTTCCCAAAAAACAGTAAACTATCTCTTAATTTTTATTTTTATTGTATGTCAAAACAATAATATTTTAGATATGCTGGTTTAGATAAAATTTATTAAATTAACTTCACTCATTTCCTTTTAATCTTCTTTAACATGGTTCATAAAAATTTTGAGTTATATGTATGACTCATAATGTATTTTCATCATCGAATAGTACTGGTTTAGACCAATAAGTTGACATCCCCAAACTCATTATTTGTTATAATAAGAAAGTAGAAGTTCATTGTCCCCCTTTCCCAACCCTGTCCTGCTGGTGAACACATGATGATTTGATCCCACTATATCATGTCACAATTAGATTTGATGAAAGACACTCTGGTTTCATTTGTTACTAGCTTTACATTAGAATTACCCGGGAAGCTTTAAGTCTGTCCCCTCACTCAAGAAAATATCAAGAGACTTTCATGTGTCTTATGACCAAAGGGTCATTGAAAATCGAGATTAAAAGTTCTACTTTTAAATCACTTCCTAAGACATTATCTTTGTAGTTTCGGGCACTTTGTGAAATCAGACAAAGGGACAACAAAGGTTTCATGATTTCATGCAAAGCGTGTTAAATAAGTTGTCCCGTGTGATGATGGGTGTTTCTCTCTCTCTGTCTTCTTGATTGAAACAGCTTGTACAAGAATCAGTCTGAATTTCCAGAAAGGCTGCTAAAGGGGCAACACAGAAGGATTCTTTGGTTTCTTTTATTCACTAACTAACGTGGCCCTCAAATTTGACAATGAGGCAAAGATGTAATTTTGCTTCTCCTGATTCATTTATTCCACAAGGGACAATAAG